TATCTACCTTTTGCCAATAGCTTATGAATTTTATGAACACTATAATAACTAAACAATATAGCTTAGAGAATTTAGCATCTAAAAGGGCTTTAAACTGTAAACAATGCTTCTCCCTTTAGATGTCTAACAGTAAGCCTTCTAGTCGGTATCACCGCTAGGATTTATATTAAAAATTATTTAAATATAAGTTTAAGGCTTTACTTCATTACCGGTACTTTCATATACCTAAATGCTCATTCTATTAAGTATGATACAAAATAATAAAAATAAAATATATGTAAGGTTAAATATCTATTATAATTATTTAAATTAACTTATTAATTAATATAAAATAATATTAAAACAAAATATTAAGTTAAGTAAATTATATATAATTTTAGAGCCTTCATTATATTATTAAAATAAACAATATAGGATAACTATTTTTTTTTTTTAATGTTTTAATTAAAGTTTCATCTATTAAACGAGGTATTAGAATCAAATAGCCTGCTTAATTACGAAGAATATGGCATGCGTACCATACCCCACGCAAGAAACTCCGTATACTGAATCACTTATTGCTAATACTTTATAACCAATACCTCATGACGCAAAACCCCCTTTTCCCCCCCTTCGGGGGGACAGTAGCAGCAACCCCTGCTTTTGCTTTAACAGCTGCCGCGCCTGCAACAGTTGCACAAGAGTACTTAGATAAGAATTCAGATTGAAGACTTTCTAATTGTTGGAGATTATATAATATATCATGTAAAGGTACTGATATGCTAGCTTCAGCGGTTACATTGTAAATGCTACCCGATTGGGTCAGAAGGTATTGACCTATTTGTACAGCTTGACCACCCCAGCCTGAACAGCGTCTCATAGGTGAGGATTGCTTGGGTTTTTAAGGCGGCCGCTACTATAGCAAATTTACATGCAACACCAAAACCAGTAAATATAGAATGAATACTAAAGGCGGCTTTGTAAGGGTAAGCTTACAAAAGCATGTGGTTTAGGTGGACTAGTTAAGGCTCATTCTAATGAGTTATAACTTCTATTTAATAGTGTTTGTAAACTATCACTATAGAACTGTGGTGTTAATCAAGGATATCTTGTAGTAGCTTTACCTTCAACTAATTGAACATAAACTATATGTAAGAATAATACAGTAGCCACTACACTTATAATAGATCCGAAACTACTTATTAAATTTCATCCCGCAAATGCATCGGGGTAATCACTTATTCGACGTGGCATTCCTTGCAGACCTAAGAAATGTTGCTTTTTATAGCAACGTACGCATTGTAAAATTATAATTTATCTTTATAACTGTATATTTTACCATCATAAGAATTTCCACTCTCGATCAAACTTTTTAATGTATAATAATTAACTTTAGCATATTTCAAAGCTTTAGTTACACTTTTTAATTCATTTATTAATTCATGTGAATTATTATCAAATACATAAATGGGTTTACGGTTGGACACTTCTCTAGATATTAGTAAAAAGTCTTGGTACTCACCTTGGGCTATGGCAGCTCTTGCTACTTTACCATCGATTTTGAAATAATTAGCCATTTCTCTACCAGATTTAAATTCTATTATTACCTCATTGTTTTGATTATAAACAACAATGTGTTTTCTAAGTTGGTTGTCTCCTGCAGGTTTTTCTTTATATTCCAAAAGATTATCTACAAGTAAAGGTTCAAAAGATAATACAAGACTTGAATTATAAAGGTATTTATTGTTAATATGATTTAATAGCGCACTATGACTTATTTGTAATCCTTTCAAAGCCCTGTTTATTGAAGAATAAATGATAGGATCTTTATCTGGTGAATTAACAAGATACGCAAAAACTAAAAAACAATAATATTTATTATCTGTGTCTTCAGATGTGTATTTTAAATGATTAGCTGTTTTAAATGTTTGAAGAAAGACAACTAATCTATTATAACCTTCAGAACCTTTAGAGAATAATAATAGTAACTTTTCAGTGGTTAAAATAGCATTATCTAAACTACCTCACTGAGGGTTTACCCTTGGAATAACTTTATAATGACTATTAATAGTTGGTTTAAACTTAATAATAGCATATTGTTCAAAAACTAGGGAAGTTTGTGGAGTAGTAATATATATAAATTCTAAACTTCAATCTAAAGCTGAAATTTTGGATATTTCCAGTTCAGAAGCTGAATGAGGATTACGTAAACCTTTAGTTAATTTATTATACTCCTCCATTCTTCTAGCTAAGTTAATAGAACTACCTATATAAAAACGACAAGGGTCATTTTTAGATGTTAGTTTATAAACACCTGAAACTCCTAAGTATTTGAATTTAATTTGTTCACATGCTTGTTCAAGAGAACCAAACTCAATTGATTCATTATTATCTATATTACTAACTTCAGATAAGGTATTAAAAACAGAACTAGTAGAGTAAGAGCGTTTTGGTATCATAGTTGCCAAATTTTGTAACCGAAGACTCAAGTTATAAGAACTAGATCTAAAAATTTTAGGTGAATCTAGAAGAGATAAATTATCAGTGCTTATTTGTCGCCAATAATTTGTAGATCATATAATTACCATACCTAAATAAGACATTAATTATAAAGGTATCAGGTACTTGGCGTATGATCGTTGAAGCCTCTTTACTTAGTGTAGCTAAGAAAGATTGCCTGCTGATTAGTCGTAATAACTAGGTCTAAGATTAGACGTCTTTCCAGCAATTTGCCAAGTTTTCAGGGAGTTTATTATATCTACCCTTTTACGCTACAAAATTTCTATTGTAGGCCCCCAACCTAAGAGGGAAGAATGTTACATTACAAAAATATGATAAATTTATTATCATATAAGTGTGGACTATATCTTAAATTATACCGGGGTATAACTTTCCTTTCGTGTAGTCTCTAAGGATCCTGCCAAGATAGTTTAATATTATCTGTACGTTTCCTGCTGATTGTCTAGATATACTTAAAATTGTTACTTATTAATTATGAAATAATTAATAAGTATTTAAGCCTTGTGAGATTTTCCAGCTTATTGAAAGGTTAAGAGGGCTAATGTGGCATATTTTAACATGCTGGACGAGGTAAGGATTGTATAATTCACGGTTCCCCGTTTAAAGATATTGACTGGCCGGTGTCTATACTTTTTTTTATAAGTGTTCATCTAACATGGAAATGTTGTTTAGCTCCATTAATGGATGGGAATATTAATTCTTCACCCTTTTGGTTATAGCAAAAAACAGATTTACCACCTATACCATACTGGGGAGAAAGTTTACCTTTTAATCCCTTAGAGGGATGACTACGAGTAAGGTAAAATTCTTTAATACCCTGGGCAATGGCATTTATTGTTTCCTTCCCCTCCCCCCCGCAGGGGGGTGGGGATGGAACTAACAGTACCGTATTTTGGGTGACTTTCTTTTTGAATTGCTCTTTTAGTTTATTTATAGTATCAATAGAGTGATGAAAACCTGATGAACTACCTGCAACTTTTAATACATTATATTTAGGTTTATAATAATCCATTCATTTTTGTTCTAACTCCGAACAGACTATAGTATCTGAAGCACAAATTTCTAATATACCCAAAGAGAAATTTTTTAATTCATGCTTTCTCATTGCTCTAGCTAATACTATATTTGTAGCCTTATCGGAGTTTGCAAGGTAAAAGTGAGAAGTCATTCTTTTAGATAAAGCAATACTACTCCCCACATATAAATCCTTAGTTATATTATTTATAAATAAATATACTCCAGATTTCCTTTTAAAGTTTATAAATAGCTCTTTTACTTTCTTGAACATTATAAAAAAAACATCACAAAATTATTGTTAGGTGAACCACCAGGACCAGCTAAATCATGATTAAATCTTTTACCTGACATCTTGCTTGCATCAAAAAAATACATTCTTCCAATTGCCTTAACCCCTATAAATAAAATTCAGAAATGCGCTTACCCAACATTTTATTATAATCTAAACCTAGTATTTTAGGTATTCAGAAGTATCATGCACTATATAATGCAAATACTGCTCCCATACTTAAAACGTAGTGGAAATGCAACTTATACATACAGTATAAATTGTGGACTGTATCTTTACCAGTAATAAATATACTATTTATCCTTATATAACAAATATTTGTTAACAAAAGGAACTTTATATCATGAAGGATTATCATATTTAATTCAATCTATCATAAAGTCTGAGTATATTTTATGCTCTACACTATTTATTGGAGATGTTTTATATTTTCTAATTTCTAGAAAAGGCTTAATTTAGTTACTCTATAAAATTTCATATCACAATATAGTCTATTATGCATAAAATAATCATATATAAATAGCATATTATTAACACTTTGAAATTTAAATGCGATAGACGCCAAGTCTTTAGAGCCGGTTAGACCTGAAGATCTTTTACGTTTAATAATAGTTGGTTTACAATTTAATATAGTATTATCGAAATTTAATTTAGACGTATATTCATTATTTTGGAATTCTAAATTACATTCTATTCTATTTCCAGCATAATTAAAAACTATACTACCATCAGTATCTACTAAACCTGCAAAATACGGTCGTATAAACCTAGCTATAATTGGCTTCAATATAATCTAGATTATATAAATTACAAGCTTCTTTAAACCCAGTACTTTAAGTCTAATTAAGCCATTAATATTTTTAAGTATATACATCATAGTTTCTTTAGTAGATACTATATAAATTGAATAAGGCTTATTTTTATCTGTTATAATTCTACCCATATGTAGATAATCCTGTATACGCTTTAATATTCTAATATCTCTATTATGTAACTTAATTCTAATTTGTTTAAGAACTCTTTTGTTACCAGTAGAATTTAATCTAATATCAAAATTACCATCACCATTAGGTCACTACCTTCCATCAAACTAACTATTATTAGCCAACTCTTCCTCTATTTATTCCAGATTTGATTTGGCGAATTTGGTCTAGCCCTTCTTGAGTTAAATGTTTCTTTTCTTTCATTAATTCGACTACTCGAGATCAATCATAAAAATCCTTGGATTTTCACCAATAATAGGATATTTAGTAAAGAAAGGAAGAATTTTATTTTCAATATTTGAAAACTTAAATACTCTGTACTCTACTGCTTGGCCTTGTTTTTTAAATAAACATTACCGCAATCGAAGTATTTAATTAATTTACTTATTAACTGCTCATCGCGAACATGTTGAATAACAGAAAATTCTAATTGAACTCGCACTTTGAATTTAGAATTAGCTGAAGAACTAACGGATATTTGGAAACATCCCTCACCACTAGTAAACCCTGCACCCATTGAGGATCAGGTATTACTTGGTGGTTAATTAAAGGTCTAGGTACTGGATAATTAGAGGAAAAGCTACCTTTAGTTCTTCTGATAAACCTCTATTTAGGGTTGCTTTGATTGCCACTATTTTTTTAATCCCTCCAGAGTTAAATGTTCTTTACTTTGAATTATTTCAAACACACGTTTCATAATTCATAATCGGCCCTCTTTGAGTTATCAAGGGTATTTATCAAAATGCTTGATGACAAATACCAAATCTTTTACTGACTGAACTTTATAGTCCAGAACAGCATTAGAACCTTGTTATAAATTTGACCTACCCCAAAATAATTACGAATCTGTTCCAAGACCGCTCTTTCCTTGGTATGCAAACCTATAACAAAAAATGGTTCAATCTTTCAACCTAAATGAGTTGAGTTTTTCTTATATTAATACCAAATAACCCTTCAGCATCTACGAACCCTGTAATAAACCATGGTTTAATACTACCTGCATTTAAATTCTAATTGGTAATCTTCGTTACCTGGTAACTGACGTCCAGTCTCTGGGATCCTACTAGGGTAAAAGTATTACCTTTTGGTTTCCTGCTGGTTGTATATTCATAAGCTCTAAACTTAGCGAAGTATTATTTTTTATATTCAAAACCTATAATCCCCTATATCTGGTAACTGACGCGCAGTCTCTGAGAATCCTTTACAGTTTTCTGCTGATTGTATATTCATAAACTTAGAGCTTATTGTTGTATCATTATTTTGACTGTTTAAAAGAAAATTAATCCTACTAACATCTAATTTATAAAGATAAAACGTATTAATAAACAGTAAACAATACACAAAGAATATAGTTTCCAGCATATAGTCAGTTGCAAAATAATTCTTAATAGAAGATAAATTATTCTGGCCCATTTGAGCAACCACATAGTAAGTATCGTGGAATGCAATATCAAGAGATGCGTTCGCTAAAACAACACCACTTACTTGTAAAATATATTCATTAATCTTTTATTATGTTAATCTCTTAATCTCTCATAACTAAATATATACCCTTTATATACACCACCTACCCTAGCATAATTTTTAATAGTACTATGAGATATTTTTAAAGCTCTTTGAGCAACCATTACACCATCATATTTCCCTATGAAATTTCTGTTAAGATCATATACAAATACTGCTTTTAAAATATGGCTATTATTATTAATATTTAATAATAATTCTTGACATTCTTTTGAACTCCAGTCAGCTATTTTAGGTGTATCACTTATATTGTAAGGTATATTATTTAAATACCATTCACCTCTAAGTATTGTTTGTTCTTTGATAAATTTAACTAATGTAGGGTGATTAGATTTAATTAATTTAGCTAAAGTTCTAACCGAAGGAAAAATAACTAATAACTCTTTAAAGAATTATAGATATAGACAGGGTAAGCAGAGTTAGCTTCAATCATCCTTAACTTACTTTCCATAGAATGGTTTCTGTTATAAAAAGGGTTGTTTCACCTGTTACAGCCCTTGCTATTAAACCTTTGTCTTATCAGAATGCACTCTATTACTAGCTAATTTAGATAGTAACTTCTTAACTCCTCTGTGTGTTTATAACCTAAAGAAGAATAACTTGTTCAAAACATTGTAATAAGGTATGATATGTGTAATATAAAAAGTTTCTCTAGCAGTTAAAGATGCAGATTCAACATATTCTAGAATTAAAAGAGAAAAATTTGATTGATCGTACTTAAGTAAAGCTCTTGTAATTGGCATATTAATATTTTGCTTACTTTTAAATAAGCATTATTAAGATAATTTCTCATTCTAGAAGCTAAATTAATAGAACTTCCTACGTAAGCGTGCCATCTACCTTGTTAATTAAACAGTAAACACCTGACCTACCTAATTCTTCCTTCGTTATCTTAACCCTATCTTCCTTAAATTCCCATAAACTTTTACAGGCCTTAAATTTTGGGTATTATCTTGGGTGCTACCCCAAGTATGCCCCATATTAAGGTTAGAATAAGATCGAGTTATGACTGCCCTATTATTTAAGATTAATGAATAAAATTTACGTGGACTATATTTTCTCATAATTTATTATGATGACTATGTCTAGTCTCTGAGGAGCCCACGTCTGGCCAGCCGACCGCCAACTTGAATATTCTATTGTAGGGTAGAAGCCGTAGTTTCTGTGATCGTTCAAAACTATGGATTATTACTAAAACTAAATAAGACTCTAGTACCATAATTATTAGAGCTTCCCAGCATATGATCGTCGTATCTGAAAGCAGAGGGAGAGCTAAGTAGTTGTTTAATAACCCTCCGATTGTAAACATGAAAACAAAACCTAAAGCAAATAACATTGAAGGAGTTAATTGTAAAGATCCTCCGTAACATGTAGCCAATCAAGAGAAAATTTAATTCCCGTAGGTACACAATTATTAAAGTAGCCGCTGTAAAATATGCTCTTGTATCTACATCTAAACCAACTGTGTACATGTGATGCAAATTGTTAACAATATTCCTCACATCTGCCGCTTACTATTTAACTATGCGCTCCTTTCACAAAGAAAATCGGACTATATCTTCATCTTTTAATAATAACATTAAGGATGCGCAGATCCTGTTTTTTTGTCATACCATTCTCAATATTAATCTGTTTCTGTAATACTCTTACTCGGGCTAATCCTTCTTGAGTGAGATGTAATTTATTAGAAACGATAGTGTGGATTCTTAATCATTCTCGAAGATTGGGCCTTCTTTGTAAGTAATGGAAATGCTTTAAAGTAAATATCCATCGTTCATTGATTGAACCCTGTAACTGTGTAACTAAACACCGTCCGTTTTGGATCTAAGGGTTACTTTACCAAATCCAAAAAGGTTTTGTATGGTCGTAAGAATAGCATTATCCTTCTGATCAAGTATATAACGCATTTTTATAACATTACCTAATGCATATCTTGCATTGGATGTTATGGATACATTAAAACATCCTTCAGCTTTCCCCCCGGGGGGGGACAGGTGAAACCTGATAATCAAGCATCTTGTAATGTAACTGAAACAGCTTTATTAACCAGTAGAATTGTATCTGCCCCAAAACGATTGTTTAAAGCTTGAACTCACAAAGATAATTGCTGTATTCTGTTAGTAAGAGCTAAATTACCATTAAATAAAAAGGCTAGTAGAAGAATATGTGATGGATTATCTACAATTAACCTATAGAAGTCATTTTTGTTACCACTTTTCCCTTGTGGAAAATGCTTAACTTGACCTACTCCTAAGTTTTTCTGAATATAGAAAAGAATAGCACTTTCCTTCTGAGTAAGAACAAAACGCACTCTTGTACCGATAAACACCGTTCGTATTTGATCTAAGAGTTCGAATGGGCTAGCTTTATGCTAGCTAATATATGACCTAGAATCTAAGCTCCTGTTCTGTTTTTATTAAAGATGTTTGCGTATAGTCTCTGAGGCACTCCAATATCCTT